GGATCCCGTCATCTAAGTCGGGATCCGCTCCCGCTCCGGCGTCTCAGTATACCGCGAGCTGTAGCTCGCGGTATACTGAGCTTAGGGTAACGGGAGGACGCTAGTTTGTGTCCTCCCGTTACCCTAAGGAGAACTATGGGGAAAAGCCCTGACCCCATAGTTCGCCTTTAAATATTTGTACAACCTAGGTTGTGTATTTAACATAAAACCTATAAAATATAATTGACCAAACCCATTGGTGCAGGACGCCATTGTGGGGTGGGCCCATGACGTGTGGCGTAGAAATATGGTAATGAGCGTTAAAAGCATCGGAGGGGAGGTGATTATTTTAGCCGGGGCTACGCACAGAGACCCTTACTTGCAGGCCTGTGATCATTTGTATTCTAGTATGTCGGTGGAGGACTCCAGACGGGGTCACAGTAAGGGGTGTGAAGGTCACTCCTTAAAGGTGCGGGCAGACCTGTAATAATAAAATGTCTTCACTTGCAGAGGTTCAAGATCTGAAGATGGATTTCTCAAAACTACCAAAGATCCAAGATGAAGAACGGGAAAGCATGTTCGGCTACGTCCATGGAGTTTCTGGACCTGGTGAGTGCGCCGCTTCCATATAAATTCCTATCCTGCATGAATGAGTTCAGTTAACTGCTGGTGTGAGGCAGATTGGGTAAAGAGCTCGTGTCTGCGGGCCTGTGGGTTCCCCCAGAACCAGCTGGCTGCCCACCATTGGGGGGGGTGAATTGGCAGTTCCGGAGGTTGGAATGAGTTCCTAAAGTTGAACTTTCACATGCTTGAATAAATTCCTGGCCTATCACAATATAAAACAGGATAACTTTGCAAAAAAGATTCACCTTTTGATCATAAAAAAATCAGTCCTGGTGTGTCATTAAACCTTCCTTTTTTAATATTGGAGACCCACCTTTGTCTGAGGCCCTCTGCATGGGTGCCTCCACCGGCTAATGGAGGAACCTGTGCGCTTGTGCCCACAGTGGCTGTGTGCATCCATAGAGACACACAACCCTGTGGCAGGCCACTCCCCTTCTCTCTGACCAACACTTTGATTGATGGCAGAAGGAGCCTATGAGTCCTCTGCCATCAGTATCCTCCCCCTGCAACCAGGAGTATGGGAAACAGAGGATCACTAACGGACGGGCGGCCGGGACGAGCGTTGCTGACAGGTAAGTGTGGGGTGGGGGGGACTGGGGGAGAAAAAGGTTCTGGGTGGTTTTTACCCGAATGCGGAGAATGCATTAAAGGAGAACTATGAGGGGGGTGCTTTTCACTCATCTCATAGTTCTAGCCGACCTGTGACAATGAGACTCAGTAGATTGGGAGGTGAGCGAACACATACCGGCGTTCGCTCACCTCTCGATCCTGTCATGGCTCTCTGCTGTGACGGGAGGGGCTGGCTTCCCCCCTCCCCGCTCTGATCCGCCAGCGCTGACTGGCGGAACGGACAGGGGAGGGGGCGGGTACAGCTGGCTCTGCCTCTAGATAGAGCCTCACCTTTCAGTAAATCTAGCGAAGTTTGGACAATCGGATTGTAATAGGTTAGAATGACACAATGAAGCTGTTCAATCTCTGTGGTCTAGATATCCTTGTAATATTACTATATCCCAGTCACCCTGTAATGTGGTCTCTTTTTTTTGAATAGTGGTGACCGCATCCAATATGGCAGGAGCCGCCATGTACGAGCTGGTGCGTGTAGGGCACTCGGAACTGGTCGGGGAAATTATTCGTCTAGAGGGTGACATGGCCACCATCCAAGTCTACGAGGAGACCTGTATCCTTTTTATCGGGTTCCACCGTGGTGTTTCTGCAGACGATGGTCAATAAATATGTTTAATAACACAAAGTACATGTGACCAACAGGGAATAATTGAATATTGTCATCGTTTTATAAAGCGAGTTGTTCCTAAGCTTCCATCATGCAGCTGGTGTATCGGTTGGAGACCCTGTTCTACGGACTGGGAAGCCCCTCTCTGTGGAGCTAGGTCCAGGCATCATGGGGTCTATCTTTGATGGTATCCAGAGACCTCTGAGGGACATCAGTGACAGCACGCAGAGCATCTACATCCCCCGAGGTGTCAACGTGTCGGCCCTCAGCAAAGACATCAAGTGGGAATTCACCCCTTCAAAGAGCCTACGGGTGGGTACGATGGAGTGTAGGTGCCATCTGGGGTCTTGCTTATCCAGACAGAAGCCTGTTCTACAGTATTATCACTTTTCATTAGAGTTATTATCAAATGCTTTGAAGTCCTATAGATAATGTAGATATGTGTGAAGTTGTGTTATCAGGGCTTTGGGTTGTATGACCCTCCCATGTGAGGCCTGCTCCGGGTTGTCAAATATCTGCTTCCTTCAGTGCCCGATGGCCATGGCAGCCTCTCTCTCTCTTCCTCATACAGTATTGCCATCTTATTTTTCATCACTTTGTTTTCCTTTTTGTCAATTGAGGGACACAGGAAGTCTTTTTTTACCTTTTGGGTTATATTACCACATACAAGAGGAATGGGCTCTGGCAAACAAACCTGTAGGCTAGCCCAGAATACTCCCATCTACTACTACTAAGCCTCCACAGGCAAAAGTCTAAACTAGGGATGTCCCGATGCCACTTTTTTGAGACCAAATATAAAAGTACTGTCCATCAGGTACTTGCCGATACCAATTACCGATACTTTTTCTTCAAGGGACATGTGACAGGCATTTATGTTAAAAATAACCTAAATATGCATATAAGGGACGATATCACGTCAAATAGTGGAGAAGACGTGGAGACCTTATGGCTAGAACTAGATATGATGGACGCTAGTCGTAAAATAGTCCAAATATAGGGGAGGAGGGGGAGGCTCATCTACAGTCCGAAATAGAAATAGCTGGGAGGGATGGCAATGTAGTCGTGATGGGCGACTTCAATTACCCAGATATAAATTGGTTTAATGGTACCTCAGGTTCGACAAAGGCGGGGCGATTTCTGAACATGTTGCGAAACAATTTCATGGACCAGATGGTTGAGGTTCCAACTAGGAAAAATGCCATCCTAGATTTAATAATTACTAATAATGCAGAACTAATTGAGGATATTGTAATTGGGGAGACACTGGGTAATAGTGATCACAATGTTATTTACTTTCAACATTGGATACAGGAAAGGGAAGTGGGCTGGACGGACAAGAACCCTAAATTTCAGAAGGGCTAACTATGATAAACTGCGCCACCTAGTGGGGGACATCAAATGGGAAAATGTATTTCACAAACTGAACTTGGACCAAAAGTGGGAATGTTTTATGTACACTTTACATATTGCCATTAAGTGTATACCGTTGGGTAATGAAAGTAAAAGATCACAAACAAAACCTGTATGGCTAAATAAAAATGTAAAGCATCACATAAAGGAAAAGCGAATGGCTTTCATAAAATATAAGATAGAGGGGACGGCATTGGCGTTCCATAACTACGAAGAATGTAATAAAAGATGTAAACTAGCAATACGGGCGGCTAAAATAGAGTGCGAAAAACATATTGCCACTGTTACTAAAAAAAAAAAAATTTTTTTACCAATACATAAACAGTAAAAAGGTGAGAAAGGAGCAGATAGGCCCAATAAAGGACGAAAGCGCGAAGTTACTCACAAATGACAAGGAGAGGGCCGAGGCGCTGAACACTTTTTTCTTCTCAGTATACACTCAGGAGGGAAACGGGTTTAACATCGATAATAAAACACAGAGTTCATCACAAAATATAGCCAAGTGGTTGGCGGAACCCGGGATACAACAAAGACTTAGTGTACTTAATGCGAAAAAAGATACTAAAGGAACTAAGTGAGGTTATAACAAGACCATTATTCCTCATTTTTAAAGGAGAACTATGGGGTCAGGGCTTTTCCCCATAGTTCTCCTTAGGGTAACGGGAGGACACAAACTAGCGTCCTCCCATCACCCTAGGCTCAGTATATAGGGAGCTACAGCTCGCGGTATACTGAGACGCCGGAGCTGATCCCGACATCGATGTCGAGATCCGCCCAGCTGCGTGACTGACAGCTGGCTCTGCCTATCTAGAGGCAGAGCCAGCTGTACCCGCCCCTCCCCCGTCCGTTCCGCCAGTCAGCGCTGG